TCTTTTCACCATCCATGACACCCTGATGAGGTTATTTAAGATCATGACTCGAGTTTTCAGGATGATGATCTCGTAGCAACTTGCAATGTTCGGTGAAATTACCTCTGACAAAGTTTATTCTATATTCAATTTCTTTTACGCCTATGCTTAAATTGCTAGAGCTTATCAATACGCCGAGGTATCTGAAGTGTTTAGAAATTACTAATTCCACATACTGAATTTTTAGTTTGGTTTAATTTATTAAGTTTTACGGCATATCAACATCAGTGGCTTATTTAATGCCGACAAATTTTTTAGGATAGATTCATATGAATGTATTCATGATTCTTTTCCTCTCTTTTTCAAAAGTGACTTGCCGGTAAGACATTTCATTTCGAAAATGTATTGCTTGTCTTTTTGCTATAAAAAAATCTATTTTTCAGTATCCGTCTATATTTTTGAGATGAGATATTATGTACATAATCTACATTATTCGGACTATCGTTCTCAACTTTGTTGCCATATTTATTACAACGTTTAGACCGTTGTACGCTCCGGCCTTCTTCAGGTGGTTGGAATGTCTAGCTGAAACCTTTATTTCGCTCGCTGGGGTAAACTGTTCTAGTTCCACGTGCCATGTCTAATGGGTGTCATTTATCAGTTATCTCCTGTTAATTCCCCTCTCTAAATTCTCCACTGCCTTAAACTATTGAACTCTCAACTCTTTGGGTCTTGTCACTGGACCTAACCAACGCCATTATCCAATGTGCCATATGTACTTAAGGACATCTGTGTAAATCTATTTTTGTACTTTCATAATGTTTTGATCCCCAGATTGAGGGTTAACTATTTGCCCATAACTGGGACCGTAACAGGTGCTACCATCCTGGGTCATGGTGGACCTGAGAACAACAGCAATTAACAGGAGATTTTATGATCAGCCGATGCCGTCACTGTTTTTTCACTGTTTTCATTCTAATTCCATATCATATTCTCTGCTTTGAAAAGGTTTATCATGAGTCCCACTTCTTGGAAATTTGATAGAGGAGTTGAAAGTCTATGCAATTAAGGACGATAAGCGATGATTGACTTGAAATGTTTAAGATTCCAGTGTTCAGGGAATAAGCAAGGCGAGAGTCTTTTCTCCAAAGTAGGAATTCTTGGAAAAAAAAGCTGTGTGGAGCTGTCTCCTTAAATTTAGAATATGAAGGAATTGAAGACGAATCGACATGATGCGCCTGTGTGGTAAATATCTGAATTGAATTGGGAAAAGACGAGAAACAATTACGTAAAGGAAAGTTCAGTTTTTATCTTATATCAAAAGATGAAAAAGTGTTTCTCATAATGAAGTAATAGATAGTGAATTAGAATCGCAAAAATTCTATTTTATAATGACTTCGATATTCTACAGCTGCTACACAATTGTAAAATTTAGCCAAAGAAATTTCAGTGAATAAACACCATGAAGCCTACATTGGTGAAACATTTAAATCGCTCGGCTCGAACCATATTTCCTTTGGTGTTCCATTATTGTATGTATCGTATACCTTCAGGACATTGCCGATCATGGCACTTCACAACTTATTGTTCTTCGTATCTCTCATCAGATTTTATCTTTTTTCTTTCTCTCCTAAACCCCGTCCATTTACGCAAGTTCGTTAGATAGATACAATAAATACGGATTCAATAAAACCATTTACATTAATTTCCTCTGTTCCTTTTTTGCCTTCAGTATGACCTTTGGGGGTCAAATTATCCAAGCAGTCTTTTCTCATTATTTCTGCTGTCTCTTACTGATGTTATGTATAAGTGTTCTTTTTAATTCCATTCTCTCTAAAATTCCGTTGTGTCTATTGTTTCAAGCCTTTTCTTTATCTGTGAGGAGATTGTCCAGCATTCAATGTCACATAGGAGGACAGATATTACATAACAGCACTCTTTTCTTTGTTTCTACTCATCGGATAACCAGAAGAAATATTCATATGCATAAACTCATGAATTTGTTCATAGGAAGTAAATATTAGTAGTTTTCGATTCTAAGTATTTGTTCTACGAAACTTATATTTTAACTGTTGGTTATTTAATATTTTTCGCGAGTGCTTATTGTAAATCGTTTGTGAAATTGCGATTCTTTGATTTGGTTGGTTTTATTTAGAGGCATATCAACACCTCTATGAGTTATTTAATCCCGAAAACTAAATCTAAATATTTTTTAGGAAAGTAATGGTTTTAGTGATGCACGTCTTACTAATTAACCCATGGGTTGTGGGGAGTATATTTGGATTCATACATATTCCAAGGTATTTGCGCGTAAGCGGATATAACGAACCCAACTGGAATTGGAACTCGACTCACCGAATCCGAATTAATAACGATTAACTGATAAATAACTACTTAAGCCTAATCTGGGGGAGAGGAAGGTTATATAGGGTGTTCCGGTAACTTGGACCAATTTTAAATGTGAATTAAGTTTAATTGTCTAATGATTTTCTTTTCTTTTTCTTTCAGATTTAACAACTTAAGTCTTTGGCAATTTAAAACATGGAAAGATTAAAGTTTCAAGAGTGCAGTTTGAAAAATTGTTCGTAAATTCAAACAAACTGGGTCAGTGGGAGATGTAAAAACACCATTGCGTGCTCGTTTACGACGTTCTGCTGAAAACATTACTGCAGTGCACGAGAATGTGGCCGAAAATCCAGACATCTTTATTCGTCATCGCGCGCAGGAATTGAACCACTCCACAACAACGTTACATCGTTTCCAAGTGTTAACGTTATCGAAGCTTATTACGAAAATTGACGTTCAAGTTTATAAATATACGGCACAATGATTCCGCCAGCAAAAAAATACACACCAAACAATGACCTTTTGTGGATGCAGTGACTTTTTAACAATCTTCCTTGGATTTTCATCAGCCTAAATGCGACAATTCTGCTTATTAACGAATCCACCAAGATGCAAATGGACTTCATCACTAAAGAGGATTTTTTTGCGAAAAATTTTCATCGTCTTGTCTTTGTGTATATGACGCTCCAAATGGTTAGCAGGTTTGTGTTCTTGTGTCAAGTGAATTTTGTAAGCGTACAGAAACATATCTTTTACTCAGAATTCGATGTAACGTTGTTGTAGAAAGGTTCAATTCTTGCGCACGATGGCGAATAGAGGGATCTAGATTTTCGGCCACATTCTCGTGCAATGCAGCAATATTTTCGGCTAAACGGCGTAAACGAGCATGAAATGGCGTTTTCACATCTGCCACCGACCCAGTTTGTTTGGATTTATGAACAATTTTTCGAATTTCACTCTCGGTTTGTCGATTATGTTGACCAATAAAATCGCGAATTGTATTTCTGTTTGAACGTCCATTTTCGTAATAGGCTTCGATAACTTTAAAACTTTGATTGTTAATCTTTCCATGGCTGGAATTGCCAAAGATATAAGTTGTTAAATCTGAAATTGAAAGAAAAATATCATTAGACGCTTAAACTTAATTCAAATTTAAAATCGTTCCAAGTTATGGAACAGCCTATATATGGAATCAGACTGATATCTCTTCTATTTCAAATTCAGAGCATTACTTATTGCACCACACGCATACCCAAGCTTAGAGCATTTGTTATTCCCAAGCAGTCACCCATCTAGATACTGACCAGGCTCCTCGCTGTTTAACTTCGGTACCTTGCCGTTCTTGTTTACGTAGGAAACGATTTATTTTTCTCTGCGTTTTTTTTTTTTTTTTTTCAGAAAAATAGTCTCGTATCAAAGTTAACGTGAAACTAAAACATCATTTTTTTCTCTGCAGCTTCTTTCTACTTTATTGATTTCTAGAATTTACTTTTCATCTGATGTTTCACTGTTTGTTATATAAGCTAACGGGCAACCCAGTCCATTTTTTTTCTTTCAATCCTCTTTTGAAAATTAGAAAGCAACGGTGTGAACTTTTATGGAAAAAAAAAACGAAGAATATTATTTCAAAGTCTCTGCTTCCAATAACTTTCATCATATTCTCTTGCGTAAATATTTAAGCTATCCCTCAGTGGTAACTTATTAAAAGTTCAGCTGTGTAATTCTCAAAGGTGTCAATGTTTTTATATTACCCATTTGCAAAGAACACATTTCACAATACTGCAGTTCACGCTTAGATTTTGAAAATTAGTAAGATTAATGTCAATTTTCATTAAAAGCTCCTGCGTTGCGTCCATGTGCCAGACTTGGCTTCGTTAAATAATTTACTATCCTCTATGTACTATAAGGATTGTTGTATTAGTGAATGTATGAGTTTATTATTCTATTTTCTTCACATCTGTTGTCGATTGCTGGTTGATTTTGTTCAGCAGTATATCAACCTCTATGGGTTATTTAATACCGAAGTTCTGGGTATGACGATAAACTATACCCGGCAGCAAGTCCTCTGAGATTCTGAGGAGCGTGGAACCACCTATTAATTGCTGTTGTTCCCAGGTTTACCCTAACCCGGGGTGGTAGCATCTGTTAGGGTCCCAGTTATGGTAAATAGTTAATCCCCAAACAAAAACAAAACACTATGAAAATATAAAAATAGATTTTCATAGTAAAATATCTATCTGTAGTTATTGTTGGACATTGAGTGAGATCTAGTCTCTTCAAATCTCCAGCACCTTTTTCAGTATCATTGCAGACCTCAGTACTATCTGTGTTTATCTGTAGTTGAAATTATAAAATTGTTTAAAATATTTAGATTTCGACATTAAATAACCCATACAGGTGTTGATATGCCGCTAAACATAATCAAACAAACAAAAACGTAATGCCGAAATCTAAATATTTCGTAAGCAATTTTATTTTATTAAAGATAATGCTTTTAGTCCTACAAGTTTTACTAATTAACCCATAGTCAGGTAGGAAATAAGAGGTGGGTCCATATTTTACCCAATTGTATTTGTACGTAAGTAAATATAAAAAACCCATCTGCAATTCGAACTCGGCTTTCCGATTAACATTGCCGAGCCATTATCCATTTCACCAACTGCACATCTAAGCTAAACACCGGGTATTACCAAACGGTCACCCATCTAAGTACTGACCAGGCTTGACATTGCTTAACTTCGGTAATCTTACGGGGACCGGTGTTTCAATTTGATATGGCCGTAAGCCATGTGTTGTCGGGTAGTTATTGTTGGACATTGAGTGAGATCTAGTCTCTTCAAATCTCCAGCACCTTTCTCAGTATCATTGCAGACTTCAGTACTACCGTGGTTTTGATATTTTCAATCCTTTCTTTAATGCTTAATAATTTTGGAAGAGCTTCAAGTGTGCCACCAATTATAAACACAATTTTCATTTGCCTGTTCCAACATTTAATCAGCTCTCGCGTAAGATCCTTTTAGTTTTGTTGATTTTTTGACTTGCATCTTTCTTTATCCTTCGCTCAAACAGATCTTCTTTTTCTTATTTACTACTTCCATTTCCACTGTAACAACCTAGATTAATTAATAACTGAGAATACAACCAAATATGGTTTAACCTACACTCTCTCCGAAGTTATAAAGCAAATCATATAAACTTCAACCGTCCTGGGTATGACGATAGACTACATCCGCGTCCTGGGTAAGACGATGAACTAGGTTCAACAGCAAGCGCTCTGATCAGAAGGTTTTGAGGAGCATGGAACCACCTCTTAATTGCTTTTGTTCCCAGATCCACCCAGACCCGAGGTGGTAGCACCTGTCAGGGTCCCAACTATGGGCAAATAGTTGACCCAAAAACTGGGGTAAAAAAAAAAAGAAAGCGTAAAAAATAGGTTTTAATATCAGCAATAATTTTTTTGAGGAAAAAGCATTACCATCAATACATTTTTGAAGAAAATGTCTTACCTGCAATAATTTTTGAAAAAAAATATTACCAACAATAAATATCTTGTGGAATTAAACAACCCGCTGAGGATGATATGCCATAAAACAAAACAAACAGAAGTAAAATAAACTTAAATAATTCAAATTTGCTTTGAAAAAATTGTCAAATTTTAAACAATCTTAACTTTGACGTCAAAACAAAGTCATTTTAAACAATCTTAATTTAGACGTCAAAACAAAGTCATTTAAACAATCTTAACTTCGACGTCAAAACAAAGTCATTTTAAACAATCTTAATTTAGACGTCAAAACAAAGTTAAAATTGTAGGTATTATTTTTTATTGAAGTTACTGAAATTATTTTCTTTATTCTAAAAAAATCTGCCTCTGAAGTTATTAGGCGAAACCAAATAATCAAACTTTACTTCAACACAAAGGTAATAAAATCATTAAAAATTGATCAACACTTATTTAGAACAAATAACAGATGCATAAAGTCGTTGAATCCTTTACATTTTAATATAACGACCTTTCTTCTCAATAACAACCAGTAATCTATTATACATTGATTTTGTTATTTTTTTTTCTCCACCAATTTTCGACATAGTAGTTTTAATTGCTTCCCATAGGCCTGCTTTGCTGTTACCTTTTGTCACCTTCATATAATTTCATCTTTATAATTAGCCAGGCAGTGGCCATTCCATTATCTTCTTTACAGTAAATCTCTTCTGCTCAAAGAATTCACGGATACACTTAGATATATGAGAAGGAGTATTGTCGTACATAAATACATACTTCACTTTGAAACTGCGAGACTGGGATTTGTACCACGCAAAGAAATCTTGTTAACAAAATCGCAAACAGTTAGAACTGTTTTGTTTAACTCTTTCTTCCACTTGAATGTTCCAATATTGGTTTGGTCGATAATTCCAGCTCATATCATAAAACTGCCTCCTTGTTGCCTTCATTTAGCTACAGTTATGTCTGAATTGGATAAGATCCATCCTTTTGGCCATCCATCAGGTCCATCACATGTCACACGAGATTTGTCCGTAAAAACTACTCCAGAAAAGTCAATTTGCATGTATTTCTTGGCCCAATTTTGACGCTTTAAAATATTTGTTTTAGTGAGAGAAGGTTGTCACAGAGATTATTTTACGGATTCCATATTCTAAACATTTTGTCCTTCTTGACCCATTCATTTCTAGCCATTTCAAAAATTTGAGCATTGGTCAAAAGTGGCTGTTTCGCTAGAACTCGCTTTAGTTTATGTTCATCTCAGAGAAGGAAGTTCTTAAAGCCATTTCATTTACTTCTAGTTCCCAACTTTCTTCTATTTTGAACAGCCTTCTTTATCATTCAATGATCTCTGCAAATTTCTTTTGATATCTGTAATGTGGACATTCCTCACTCAATAACTGTATTATTTTCTGTTTTTCAGTAATTGTTAGATTCTTCCCTTTAGCCATGTTTCAACATAGATATTTATTGTTTTAATTAAAACAATTGCGGCACATACGGGAAATAGGGAAAGGCTGGTCCATATTCTAGATCTAGCTGATCTGATTCAGGACCCATTCATTTATTACAATTTGCTCATTCACCCCAAAAACCCATCACTCACCATTCAATACTGGATATAACGACCACAAATTCACAGAGAAGCTAAAAGAAAACATGACATAAATTTTCAATATATACAGTGTAACCCGGATATAAGAGACCCGGATATAAGAGAAACCCGGATATAAGAGAGATTTTCTCTGGTTCCAAATTAGAGCCTTTGTTAATGTATATAAAATAGACAAAACCCGGATATAAGAGAAACCCGGATATAAGAGACTTCTTCTCCGGTCCCGACAACTCTCTTATATCCGGGTTACACTGTAGTTCAAATATCTCTTTTTTACCCATTTTTTAATAAAAATATATGCTCATGAAATGATGGGTGGAAGTAAACCCAGAAAACGAAACTTTAGTATAACAAGGCGTTCATACTAAACATACGTTAGTAGGACCCAACCACCTCACAAAAATAATAAGAGTGCCAAGGTCGACCCCATCAAACACCTTGGATTGATGCAAATTGATCAGCGCGGCATCTTCGTCGTCTTCTACTCCCTCTATGATCGTGCGGGACACATGCTGGTTACTCTGAATTGTTCGTACCCTCAGCGCAAGTCTGCTCGGGTCACAACAGAATCTCTGGCCTGCTAGTCCACCATGCAGAGAAAACAACTAAGTCGCTAGAAAGCACACGAACATCAACATCGCAAGCAAAGCGTTTCTCCTGAATCCCAGCTCACATTTCAGACATTTTTTTTTTCAGTTAAGAAGACCCTAGTTGGCCTCTTTTTATTTTGGGGTATGTTTCCCTGGCTTCAGTCAAATGTTCTCACATTTTCAAGTTTCCCCCATATTCCTGATTAGGGTAGTCACGACAGGTGCCTTGGAGAAGTTTCTGGGATCCACCGTTGACTTACCGTGCAGGAAGGTGCACTTAAACAAAGGCCTAAGAAGGGTTTTCCTTTGTGACGGCTGGTCGCTTTCAGTGGCCTTTCTGTCCACCAGACAGATAGCCTCCCTCTCAGCGAGAGATTTCTTCATTTTTTTTCTTTTATCTTTGAAAGGGTGTGTTTGGTGACTGGTATCGGGAGGGCCAGAGATTTTTCCTTTTTTACAGACTTTTTTCCCGTCTATCTCCCCGTCCTCCTCGTCACTCCCCACCTTTTAAAGCTCTCTTTCTAAAGTGGTGGATTATTGTTCACTTAGCTTGTCACAACTAAGTGAACAATAATCAACAAAAATCCTATTTTGCTGCTATCCTGGCATAGAGCATCTCATTGTGCTAAAACTGGGATAGTCCATTGCTTGGGCTGTGATTGTGATTGGCGTCCTGGCAGACAAAAATAAAACAGGTACCAAACCCTGAAAGAGAGCTATTTATTGATTCATCTGCATCTGTTTGCTAGGTTTGTAGTATTGCTTACAACCTGCTTTATTTTTTGATTGCCAGCTGGACGCTATTGGGACCTTTTTGTCACCAGTAAGTGCTGTTTATTATTGTTATTCTACAGATGGCACCGGGTTCTTACCAGGAGATTCTTCAGACAAATGCCCTGCATCCCCACAGGACCAGCAGTGGGACTGACGGCCCTGCACAACTACCAAAATTCTTCTTCCACCACATGTAACGATATCGGGGATGTCATTAAAGCTTTTTCTTGTTAGTGTCACTTGTATAACAACATTCCCAGTGGAAAACCCCGTCTTGCCTTTTTCGGTGCGATCTTGGTAACCTGTCATTATTGCGCAAATAAGGCCCCCAGATATGTCCAAGCATGCAACGTAATTCTAGTCATGCGGGTTCGTTTGTAACCTCAGCGATTTTGTTGAGACAATACTTCCTGCGAGATTTTTGTCTTCTTCCTCTGTTGCCAGTAGGATGTCCCACACGTCAGTATGTCCCTAACGTCAGTTAGACCTTTTGGTCAGCACTTTTAGGGCTATACTGTGGCCTTTAAGAGCCTCTTCCTTTATTTCCCAACAGACGCCGATTAGCTTCCAGGACTTGACGTCTGAGATATTGTTCGAGTCGCAAACGCCTCCAGAACAGGCGGTATTGACAACAGTTCATTTCCGACAATAAATTCGTTATATTTTTCTTTTAGGGGCCTCGGAATATTCCGGACCCTTCTTTACTTTCTCCGTAGTTCATTTGGTTGGCGTAGATGGCGGGAGAATTATCTGGGAACTGAGGAGATTCCTCCATAATGTTGGAGAGGATAGACCTGACGCCAAATCTCGTACACAAAACTGCTCTAAAACAATGCAAATAATAAAACAATACGGGACCAACGTGCCAAAAACACAAGCCGAAAAAGCGTCATTTGCGTTCGTTCAAAAAGTCCTTTTCAACAAATAACTGAAATGTTACCCATGTTTCAACCTATTATGGACAAAAAGAAAAAAATAGTGATTATTAGATGTCAGAGTGTTAAGCTAACATTAGTTTAATCTGCATACTAACTTCAGTCAGTCCATTTTCGTAAATTTCAAATATCTCAAAAACTGACAATTAAAAATGGCAGAAAATTTACGTAAATATTTTCCTCAAGGCAGAAATGGATGAGTTTAAATTTGATAAATATTGGTTCAGAACTTTTTGCGTTATTGAAGTTTATTTTATTTACATAATAACTTCAGATAGTATGTAGTTCAGAATAGTATTCAATGTATGATTGACGCTAGAATACTTCTTACCAAGAAGTATAAAATAGCATATACATATTAAATAGCT